GCAGGATGCAAACTGGCTCCAGGCCTGCCACCAAGTCCGTGCGCACGGAGACAGGTGTAGCGACCTCACAGTCAGAGTCTGTGTTTAGCTGGGAATTTCATAGCACCTGTCTGTCCTCCAAGGCCTCCGGCTCATCCAAGGGCACTTTCTGTGGACATCCTGCCCCAGGCGCGGCCCCGGGGTATACGCAGTGGCGTGGGAAGAGTGGGGTGCCCGGGTATTCCCAACGCTCTTAGTCCTCCTGCAAAATCAAGACCTCACCTGAGATCAGGAAAAGTTCTGTGTCACACAGCCCAGAACATTTGCCTTTGTTTTTGCCCAGGACAAAGCCCGGCTGAGTGAGGCATTCTGGGCCACCGTGGGGTAGGGGGTGGAGCGGAAGTCCCCTTCTGAGTCCTCCCAGCTGGGTGAGGCATTCTAGGCAGCCATCAGGGGTGGGATGGGGGAAGTCCTATCCTGGGTCCTCCTGGCTGAATGAGGCATTCAGGGCCACCATTGAGGGTATAGGGGGAAGACCCCTTCTGGGTCCTCCCATCTTACTCCTTAGCTCTCAGGCAAGAGACTCTAAGGGGCTCCCTTGTCCCCTGACATCACTGGAGCACTTGGCCTGGCTTCCCTCCCTTCTGGCCACCACAGGCCACCCGATCAAAGAGCATGTGTTTTGCTTTCAACTTCTCCACTGCAATGCTTTGTGTCAGTGCTTCCTGATGGCCAATGGCCTGCTCTTTCGTGGTCCCTGCTCTCGCAGCTTAGGGTGGAGGCCCTGTCCAACTCAGCAGAGCCCCAGAGCCCCAGCCTCCACACGAAACGTCCTCACCAGGCCTCACAGGCCACCCTCCTGCCATGCTGGTCTGACCTCAGGGGCTCCTCTCCCCACGAGGACCTCTGCATCCCCTCCACCACTCTGGCATCTTTCTGGGTGCCCAGCACAGGGCCTGAGGTACACTAGGGCTTCCTGAGTATTTGCCTATTTGAGCACAAACCCAAAAAAGGCCAAGGGCAAGCGTGTGTTTAGAACAGTGAGCACGGCAGGTCTTAGGGGGCCGGGCGCTCGGAAAGGTCCACTGGGCATCTGAGTTCTGTGGGGATTGAACTGGAGGGATCTCAAAGAACAGCTCCAGTTACTTGGAAAGCATCACCGGCTACCAGGCTCGGCTGCAAACCTCCAGCTGTTCCAGAGTCCTGGAGGGGCCGAGGTGCACTGCCCTCAAGCCAGGCGTGCGGGATTGGATCACCAGGAGGCTCCCTCAGCCCTTTCTCAGGGCTCTCCACCACAGGTTCCATTCAGATCATGTCCAGAGGGAAGCAGTGGGGACAGTGGGGGACTCACTGAGTGGCAACTCATGACTACTAGGAAGCGTGGATTCATCCTGCCAGCCGCAAGAAGAGCCCTGAGCTGTGCTAGGGCCTTTCCCAGGTACAAATCCATGTGGGAATGAACCAGAAGGAAGCAGTGGGCTCCGCCTCCTCCCTTAGATAAAGCTTTCTTTGAGTCTATGCCTGGTGTCTGTGCCTTTGCGATCTACACTGGCGGGGTGGGGACCACCTGTGCTCAAGAGTGTGGGCTGCTCAGAATAGGGATGCAGAACCGCCCGGGGACCCCAAGGCACAGACGCTGCAGCGGCCAGCCTGGACTCTCTGCCCTCCCTGCCTGAGCCCAGGTGCTCCGCCTGGGCCAGCCAGCTCTGGGCGAGATCACCTGGCCTGCCTGTGCAGGGCCCAGGCTGGGGCCTCTGCGCCTGCTGCTGCCTGGGCTGAGGCATGAGACCAATGGTACCTTACTTAACACTGTCAATGCACAGGAGAAAATGTCCCTGGCCCGTTAATCAATCACTAGTCACTAGAAGGGAAGCACAAGATCTAGAGACGCTATGGTTTCCCTGGACTTGATACTCAGTTATCAGGTAGAAAGGAAGGCATATCTTAACAATCACAACAAAAAACCCAAACGCGTGTCTTTCTGAAGCCCCAGCGGGTCACACCCGTGCATAAGGCGGAGCAGCATCTTTCACTGGGCTTTGTTTCAGAAGGGTGTTCTTTGTAACCACCCTCTCTTCCAACCTTGACACGGCCGCCTTTCTGTAGGGGGTCTTGCCATAGGGCCAGTGCATGCTCACAAAGACTGTGGGGATTTTTGCTTTGGAAAGAGAGAGCCTTGTCACAGCCACAGGCACACACGAGCTCTGCCAGGCACAGCTGGCCCAGATCCCTGGCATCCAGGGAGGCTTCCCAGCAGAGTTTCCACTCTCAAAATTGGTCCAAGGTGTCAGCATCCACAGAATATGCAAAACTGAGCTATGTAACATCTCCTGTTTATCATTTAGGGGTCCTGCTTCAAAACACACACGCACCCACCACCCTTTAATCTTAGGGCATGAATATTTCATCACGGCTGTGACTGCATATACAAGCAGTTCAAGGGTGTATTTTTACCTAAAGGTCTCATAATTTAATAACACTTGTCGAAGCCACATTTGTGTTAGATTTCACTCTGTTTTAATACCGCATGGCTTTACATAGGGCCCATTTTTAATAGGGACCAAATAGTCTATTTTTTGGTTCTCCGCTTTCTTCTCTAAACCACAGGGCATGAAGGAGCTTCATCAGCGCCCTTTGATGAAGAACAACAGAGCCATGAAGATTACTTCCATTAGACAATGAAAATAGCCTGATTGAAATCTTCTCTCTCTCTGTTGACAATGGTGTCAACTCGTGGATTACAGTCACCTTTTATCGGCCAATATCAGAGAATACACTGTAGAGAAATTCCCACTTGTTCAGAAAGCCGCTGTGAGGCAAACCCTCAGGAGTACGGTCTAACTCTTCAGGTGCCGACCTTGCTATTCACAAAGTGAGACAGCTATTCACACTTTTCCTTACCGTATATAGGATCTTTCTGAGCCCTGGCCATGCTTAATCAGCGGACACGGGGCATCTGATGCTTCATTACATAACTCGCCTTCCCTAGATGCTGGTGTGTTAAGACAGTTACTGGAACCCTTATCGGCTCCATGGGAAGTCCATGTCCACCTCTGGGTCATGGCCTCACTAAGGTCGTGGTTTGGGAACTTGTTCCTGCCCTGTGGCTGGGAGGGAACAGGACTATCTATCACACTGCTCACTTTCCTGTACCGGGCTTTTCTTTCGTGCTGTTATGCTTTAGAGGGAAATTATTTAATCCATGGTTTACTGAAATCCATGCTCCATAATGGTGACACATAAGATTCTAATCTAGTTCCAGTGCATCCTCGTGGCATTTTTGTTTTCTAGAAACTTCATAAGAGATTACAGTAAGATATTCATAAAACATATGAATATCTTACTGTTGCAGGGTAGAACCTTTTTTATGTCCATTATAATTTAGAGTATTTTTTTCTTTCATGAAAATCTTGAGATAATTCTCTAAGATAAGGAGCAGAGCACAGGAATGTTTCTTTAACTAAGGAATTTAAAAAAATAAAGCCCCTAGTTTTCCCCTGAGATCTCCACACTGGAACATCCAAAGCTCTAGCTGATCTCCCTGTATCCCCTATTTATGTCCATGTATGCGTATTTGCATGCATGTATCTACATTTCCATGTTTCTAGCTATCTGTTTATTTATCTATCCATCCTTCCATTTTGGGACTTTCCGGAAGAACCCAGAAGGGTAGAGAGCTGTATGTGACATCTAACACTGCTCTTCCACAAAGCACCCTTCTGAAGCAAAGCCACACGTTTCTGGTGATGACCCCACAAGTGGATGAGCCAATATTATATTAAATATCATCACCACCTCCTGCCCTCAGGCGAATCTTGAAAGTGGACTACAAAGAGCACAGCCTCTCTCCTCAGCAAACACATGTTCAGGGGAAGGGGCAACGAGTGAAACTGTGGGCGAGAGCAACGTCACTTCTGTATCTTTCCCTAGGTCATTTAAGGGCAACACCTTTTTACGACTTCGATCATTCTATTTCACTTACTGCGTTTGACCTTTTTATCCACTTGGTTTCTTGCTTTAAAAGCAACGAATCTGAGGAATTTAAGAAACATATAAAGGGAATTAAATTACAGGTAGGGAATCATAATGAAAACACAGGTGTCTCACAGGTGCATTCACATTGTGATGGTTTAGTATCATTGTTAATTGCATCTCGGTTTCAAACTATCAATATCCTATTGCGTGGCTTCAGCACATTTAAATTAGCTCACAAGTTTGTATCAAGTTCTAAAGCAGATCACAAAATCACATCAAAGAATGACTTTTCTCATATTCCACGACAATCTGAATTTTAAACTTGTAGTTTATCATTTTTTATTTAGATAAAGTGATTATGTATGCAAATAAATATCAACCTAAGCCGAGAAACAGATATAAAAGCACAGCCAGCTATTGACCCTATTTTCTTAGGGTTGTCCTAGTAAATAAAGTATTGATCTTTCCAGTTTAGGACTTCAGGACAATCCCACTCCCCACTCCTCAGTAAAACGGATTCACTGGCCTGGGCTTGTTCTCAGAAAATAGCAATCCACATCACAAAACATAAAATGGCATCTCAGCCAATTTTGTCTTTTTTTTTTTTTTTTCTATGAGACTAGGTTCACATGTCTTCATGGAGACCCAAACCAACCATCTCATACAAGAACAATTTGAAATAACCCAGCCTCAAATGAGTCCTCTCTCATCATTATTTTAATAAGCACTATGCTGCCCAGTGTTTACCCAGAGCGATTTTTCTGGACACAGGATGGGTAGCTTTTCATCAACTCTGAGCAACTTTTTTCTCACATCGTAACGTTGCTTTGTTTCTTTTATTTTTGTTTTTGTTTCTTCTGCCCTGACTTGTTTTTATTTTGGTTTTGGTCAATACATGTGACTTACAAGGCAGCAGGTGACTAGGAGCATGCTAAAGTGAGAAGCTCCTCTATCTCACTGTTCATTAGCAAAAGCAGGGCAAGACTACAGTGACCCACAGGGAAGCCTGACTTCCTGCAGCCACAAGAAACCCAGCGGTTTGTGCATTATCACCAAATACAGGTTTAATTGGTAACTTAGTAAGCTACAAATATTTACATAAGTTTATCAAGTTCCATCTGGAAAAAATTCTGGAAACAAAAAAATACACATCATGAGATATTAGAAAATTGGCAAGATACAAGACTATTTTTAAAGGGAAATCCAAGAAAAAAACTGAAAAGCCCAATTTAGCAAAACTTGAGATATTTGCTGTAAGCCAAGGTGCCTGGTCGTCTCCAGTCAAAGTACAGCATGACCGTCAATGAAAGGCACCCCTCAGAGAAGGTGTACCTCCCCAAGTCCATTCAGGCACACACAGGAGCCAATGAAAGGCACCCCTCAGAGAGAAGGTGTACCTCCCCAAGTCCACACAGGAGCGCACATTTTCTTAATTTCTACAATCAGTGTTAGTATTGTTTACATTTGAGAATTTTTAATGATGATCAAAAAGGGTATGAAGACAGACTTGGCGACACTTCTACAAGTACAGCTGTTAAGATTTTTCACAGAAGCCGACTTCCTGCCATAGTTCCCACCATGCTCCTGAAGGTCACTTAGGTTTTAAGGACTAATTTTCCTGTTTAGTGCATTTCCCAAGAAAACCCACGTTAGGAGAATGTTCATGATTTACTACTTTAAATGCCAAATTAATCTTAACTAGATACATTTCAATAAAGCTATGGGGACTATGTTTTAAATAACAATTGCCCTACCCTATTGGAAAATAGTAATTATTATTCAGTTCAGTTTCCGTCGTGTGTCAGCTAGAGTGCGGGTTCGTTATCTAGGAGCCATCACACTTAAGCAGCTACAGACATTTAAAAAAAAGCACCCAAATAATTAAGTGATATTAACTTACTTTTAATAAGAGTCGAGGTGGGAAGGGGGCATGAAAGCTCTTCCCCTTAGTTTTGGTAAATTTTCCTAAATTTAAGAATGGTTTCCTGCTGGAGTCAGCAGAATGGTTTAAATACATAATGTGCTTTTTTAGGCAATGAAGTAGCAATATGGCGAACAGTTTTAGGTCTTCCGGGAAGACTGTGTAGCATCCTACCCACTTGATTCTCCCCAAAGACAATGAGAATCTCTTTTTAGAAACTGGTGTAGGCTATACCCTGACATCTTTAATCATTAGAGTCACATTCCATTGAATGCAAATTGAAAAGAGATCACGAAATTTCCAGGAGTGATTGTTACTATACTTTGTATATTAAGTGTGGCCAAAAGATAATTTCCTACCAGGTCCCTCCTCTCTTTCCATTCCTGTAGAAGAATGGTAGATTATTTAGTAGTAAACTCCACACACTAACTGTAAGCCAAAAAAAAAAAAAAACTTTATAAGAAAAACAAACAAACCAGGAGAGTTTGGAGCAAAGAAAACACAACAGCTTTTAACACATGATGCGATCACACATCAACTTTCTAAATCATTTAAACTCAGAGTGGTACTTATGAGAGGCCGACGTAATTATCGTTCACTATAAACTCAAGCATTCATTAGTTTTTACACATTTCACCAAACTTTAGAGATGAGAAGTTTTTAAACTTGCGGTTTCTAGAAATTTAAATTTCATGCCTGATAAAAAGTAGATTTGTTTGTCACCAACAGCCATATCTCACCCAGAAGACCACATTTTGAATTTGTTGCCATGTATTTCCTTAAACTTACAGCCAATCAAGTATTTGAGAATTCAAATCCAGTTCTTATCAGAGAGAGCACTGCCCTTGTATATGTGCACATGCACTGTTATGAAATAAACAGTATACATTATGAAATCCGCATTTTGTTTATGAAATGTCTTCACTATTTTCCCCAATACAGAATTAAATGCTTTATTGTCAAGCTTGATTTATCAAAATCTGTAAAGGTTAATTTAAGTTTATGTACTCCTCAGCTTTGCCTACAAAAAAAACCCTCAGGGTATGTCTTGATGTCAAACAAGAGATTTTCAAAATAAATCATAAACGGAGACAAACACGGCGTAGACACGAGACAAAGTTTCTTGTCGTGGAAGACAACATGCAGACACAAAATGCAGACGTTGACCTTTGGGGTGTGACTACTCCTCTCTACAACTAGCAGCACGCGTTCCTAGAGCTCAGAGTGATTAGCAGAAGCTTCACACAGATCTGGAAAAAAAAATTACATAGCATCATTATCATTTTAGGCATCAGCCTATTAAGTCATTTACATTATGCGACACCTACGTTCTGGTGGAAGCATATTTTTAAAACTTTTATTATGGAAATGTTCCCAAAATTTTATTATAGAAATTACCCAAAAGCAGAAAGAAGGTGTAGTCTATTACCCTGCACCCCAAACCCAACTTCAACAAAGATCAACACTGCTGTTCTTGTCTCAGAGTCCCGTCTTTTTGGCTGGAGTATTTTAAAGCAAGGCCAAAGTACTGTGTCATTCCACCCATGGCTCCACGCAGATATTCCACAGCTTGTAAGGGGCACAGCACATCTGGCGTTTAATCCAAGGACCACAGAAGCAACTGGATACTTTGATAATACCACCTTTCCAGTTGGAAGCAATTAATACCAACTCTATTGAAAAAGGCTATGGATTACTTTAGCTACAAGAATTTTTAAAATACGCTAGCCTTTGAAATAATTATTTTACACATCAGAAATTTTACATTCCCATTAGCGTTGAGAAGTCTGTATAAAAAGGCAACAATCTTTCACTTTAAATGTAGACACTTGATCTCATAAACGTTTCTAGACACTTGATCTCATATTCATACACTGCATCAAAATCGTCATATGGCAAAGTCATCAGAGATGATGCTGTTGAGTGTTAAGGTTTCATACTCGCGCAGAAGTGACACATACAGAATGTATTTATGTATTTATTTGTGCCTTCACATAGCCTGCTTAACAAGTACTTCCGTGAGTATTAGAAGACCCATTCGCTTATTAGCTGCAGTGCTATGCTTCATATCTCAAGTGGCGTATAGCTGTGCTTTTCATCACGAGCCTATATCATATTAAGATTTTAATCATTCTGACTCCAAGACATCAAAATGACATTCTGGAGAAGTCTGGGCTATATGCCCCAAGATATTCCACCAGGAACATCTAATGAATTTGCCTTTATTTTTTGCCTAGGACAAAAAGAGACTATTTGAGGAATAACTCCCTATTACTCTGTCTCACACTCCAACAACAGAGTACATTTGATGACTTTTATTCTACCCAGTAAACAAACCGCATTGGCAGCCACAGATTCCTTTGTAATCCTACAACCTTTCATTGAGATTTTTTTCACTCATTAAGAAAATGACACATAATAAAAATCTCAGTGATATATTTCATCTGAACACAATCATCTTAAATCTGACATAGACATTTTCTCCACCCTTCCCCATTTACTTTTGCATGGGTGAATGTTGGAACTTTAATATTTTGAAGGGTCTGTGAATGTGTCCTTACTTGCCAACATATCATTATTATAAATAAAGTGAAATAATCTACACTAAGAAGAAAAAAAGTGAAACTCCTACATAAACAAGGTGCATATAAAGTGTAGAAAGGAACTAAACTTTCAATAAAACCTCTAATTCTACCAATGTCTATTTTCTAAATGTTTATGTTCCTAAAAGTAATGTGTGAATATTTTAACGGCTTAGTGTGTTGCACGTAGTATACACTCAGTAAATGGTGATTCCTTAACGTGCAGTTTCGTACCATACAACACACATGCACACACACTCACACACGCACGCACACACACACACACAGTCACATCTTTAAGACACTGTTTAAACTCTGGAGAGTCTATCACAGCAAAGCCACTGTGCAAGATCACAGGTAAAGTATCACCTTCACAAAGCAGAGTTTGAATGTCATATTCTGGCTCTAAACTGGCTGTGCTTGTATTTTAGATCAGGTACCAAGGCATCTGGGGTTTTCTACGATATGGACGTCTCACCCTTCAGTTGCCTGAAACCATCCCAATGTGTTAAGACACATGAATTCTCTGTTGCTTTCAGTAACTGAACAGTTTTTATCATTGATGTGTTGTTGGAACTTTTTCTCGCAGAAATTGTTAAGTTTGAAGAAACTCTTCCTTGTTATGTGGTCTTAACTCACTTCAACAGTAGGGCTTTTTGAGTGGGTAGAAGTCCTGTCTCTTTCTAGGATTAATTTATTCTCGGTCTTTAACTTATCAGTGGTTTAGAACATCCATAAATAAGTTTCGTGAAGAAACGTTACATGAAAGGACTCACCCCACTTCACTATCTAGTGGCTGAACAGAGGCTTGCACCTGTGATGATCTTTCCTACGTTTTACTTCCAATACTGCTGTGAACAGTGTAAGGACATAATCAGTGTTTTAAAAATCAAATGCCAAGTAAGAATTATCTAATCAGGTTTCATTTTATACTTTCAAAATTGCACCTATCTTAGGTTTATTCTTTCAGCTTGCATTTTCTCAAGGTGTTAGTTTTTATTCCAATTATATATATGCAGAAGGAATTCAGAGGAGTCGTTAAGATTATTGAAATTAAGTCAGATTGACAAACTTGGGAGCAGTCTTTCCCCAGGATCTGATTATTGCTGGAACTAGCTGCTGGGACGCTCCCTGGTCCTCCTGGAACATACGAGAGAGGCCCCCGTAGCAGTGGATCTGCGTTTGTCATAGACAATAATGACAAGACTGCATCCTTTATGAGGAAAAAATAGGAAAATCAGTATTTCAGGTATTGTTCATCAGGCTTTTCCTTATGCCTGAATGCACACATACATCCCTGAATTGTTTGAAAGACCTTAAAAACATTTTCTGTGGGAAGTTGTGGCTATGGACATCACATATTTCTATAGTATATATCTAACATCAAAGAAAAATACCCCAAATGCCTGAATAATCCTGACTATGTGGTCTCACTGTACTCCTCTGCAAGCTTCATTAAAACTGGATTTTAAACAGAAAACAACCCAATTATCTACTCAGGGTTAAAAAAAAAAAAAAGAAAACAAAAACAAAAAACAATTTCACCTGTTCTGTTAATGGGCATTTGTGTGCTCCTTGTTTATCACCTTTGATGACATGAATATTGATCTACAAATGTGCAGTAGCTGTTATTTTAAGAACTTTGAGGCTACATTTGATATAATGGAGGTAGGTGTATTATACTTTATTGTAAACGACTGCTGAATCTAATTGTCTCAACCTCCACATTGTTTAAAAGTACCCCACTGGCTTCAAATCACTGTCTTCACATCTACTCATTCATTTCCCCAAAGATATCCAAAAAGAATGCACAATGTTTCATCCATTGTGTCCAAGTTAGGGAACTAGGAGATGTACATACAGCCAGAGTGGAGAGGCAGTGACCACAGCTTTCAACTTTGTATATTCTAAATAAAATTCTGCTCATTTTTCCAGCTTTTGAGTGTGTGTATATGCTTAAGAATTAAGTATTATTTTCCACCCTCTGAGCCAGAAAAAAAATTTTAAGAAGTAGATACAGGAATAGAACCTGAAAAAAAAAAATACCCCAGCATTCCCCCCGCCCCACAAAACAAAGAAACAAAAACTTCAGGAAGTTCTTATAAAACAAAAATCCCACTTTCTACTGGTGTAGCAGAGACTCTAGTCATGAAGTGAGAGTCTCTTTCCCTGGTCCAGGATGGAAAAATCATCTCTCTCAAAGTTTTTAAAAAGAAAGTGCTTTGGAGTCTTCTAATTCTGAATAAGAATTTTCTCCTTAACAACTGGAAATCAAGAATGTGTGAATTCCCTTAACAGGCAGAGGAAAGAAAGTACAAAAAGGAAGCCCTCACAGCCCCGTGGTTTCTGTTTATCTGTTTTCGCTCACATGCTGTCGTTTCTGATTCAGCGGAGACGGGGGATCCTGTGTCAGAGCCGCGGGTCGCAGCGAGGCAGCCAGGCTCGGTCTGCAGACAAGAGGCTGCAAGGCTGAGTGAGAGAGAGAGGGTGGGCACATGTTACATCAGACACAGTACCTGATTTTTCTCTGCACAGCTTGTCAGCCAGATAGTGTGCCTCGTGGGCGATAAGCGAGAATATTTCATCTTCGTACTCTTCCATTATAGTTTCACACTGTGGAAACATAATAACAGCATATGTGGATAGACGCACACTGCCGGGGATCCTTGTTAGGAAGGACTTTGCAGCCATGTATTAGCTAAACACAGGAAATCATGGAAGCAAGGTGGTCCGTTTCTATTAGCCCTTTTGGTTTAATACATCACTGCATTGGATTAACCCTCTTCCCGGAATGTTAATTGCATCATTTTCCTGGGACTTAAGTCAATGATGAGTTGTGCTGGAAGATGTGGGAGGCGAAGGAAGGAACATCACTCTGCGTGTTTCACTTCCTTCAATTGGAAGGGAAGTCTTAGGAAGAAACGGGCCTCCTATTTAAGGCGATGAAAGGTCTTACGGGTTTTAAATTAAAAAAAAAAAAAAAAAAAAAAAGTAAAAGACCACAGCTCCTCGAAACGGTTAAACCAGTTTCCTTCAGATTTAACATAATAATCCATTTTGTGCCTTGAAAGTGTGAAAACAGTCAAGGCTTCTCAGCAATCAAAACAAACGCATCTTCAATTTCACTGTGGAGAACACACTTGACAGTTACTTCGGGAAGTGTCTTTTCAGACTATTTAGAGATCCATCCAAAATTTCACTTCACTTAAAAAAACCCTGACATTTCAGAGAAGAGGGCACTCCCATATGCCCCTGCATTTGAAAATCGTAAATTCTAACTGGAGTATGTTTCTTTGTTAAAGAACTACCAGGTTATACTTTTAGGAGCTGTGAAGTTACCCAGTGGTGTTCACTAGAGACTTGCAAATCATTTTGTGCGTTCATTAAGCAAGACTCTAAAAATCTTTAATGGCATTTAAAAAGATTTAAATTCGACTCAATGTGCCTATTTAAAACCTGTGAAATACAAACATACTTATTCACTGTCATTCTTATTCTGTGGCACTTTTAACCCTGATTACTGCCTTTACTTTCTAATTAAAATAAAAGCTTTGAAAGTCAGCTAAAGCCTTCATTTCAAGGTTTCAGCATGCCTGATATTTTGGACAGTGTGTGAACTTAATACATTTTAAAACAGGATTGCCCACCACTTTGATTCAACAGCATTGGCTAAAGTGAAATATATTGCAGTGTATTTTGCCAACACATTCTAGCAAGCCAGAGACTAGCTTTCATGAAAAATAAATATTATACTGGAAAGAAATTTGGCATCAAGCCAACCATCATACCTAAGCCTTTGTTTAACTTAGTTTGGGCTAGAATTCTTGAATTAACTCAGTATGCAATTCTCTCTCCTCTGTGAAGGCTTAGGAAAAAAAGAGATGGCTGCATCACTCTCTATCATTCGGCTGCAAACATTAGAAAGCCCCATTCGTTTTAATTTGGGTTTTAACCTAGAAACCACAGCCCCTGACTCCTTACGTGGAAACCCGGGAGAGCCCTTCCTCGTCACCAGCACCGACTGAGACCACTCCCCAGTCCCTACATGAGCAAAATGGTTTAAGCAAAACATTGTGCAAAACTGTGTCTACAAGTCCCCGGGATTTGTGAACAGCACCTCCCATAAAATACCACTTTTAAACGTGTCCACTGATCACCACAAAATGCTACAACCCCTTAGGTGTCTCAAAAGGCAAGTTCCTAAATGCATGCTGAGCACTTGCTCAGCAAGACAACAAAGTCAGCAGATGACATTTTAATGTGCATTTTGATGCTCCACGTCTTGACACTCAACCACAACAAGAGCAGTGAAAAACCAAAAAGTTCCAAAAACACGCTTCTGGGTCATAGGATTCATCTGCAAGGAAGGAAGCTTACCGCAAATTTCAAAGGTCTGTAAGCATCAGAATAAAAATGGAATTTTTTAAATTCTTGGTATATTTTGTCTCCTTTCCGAGGAGCAAATCTCTTGAACGTTCTCTCCTTCGTCACAGGGTCTTCCTCGAGCTTGTAGTCGTTCATTCGCTCACAGACTTTCTCCAAAAGGTCCGTTAGGAACGCCTCCGACTGGGCTAGGGGGATCTAAGAAGAAAGGCAAGGCGAGGAAAGTTGTCTTAATGTTAGTGTTAACTGCAAAGACCTGCGGGCGAGTCCACCAGGAAACGCCGCACTCTCGGCGAATGCAAACGTGGGCCGCTTCCCCAGCACAGGCACGGCCACGGCACCTTAGGCTGTGATCACCATGTAACAACAGCGACCTGGTTTGCCTCATGTACGGGGTCAGCGTCAATTCTAGTGTTTACCAAGTGCGTGTCTTTCAAAGTGGACAGAAAGAAAAAAACGTACATTTCAACTAGAAACTATACCTCTACATAGAATCATGTTTAGAGTCAGTGAGCATGGAGCAAAAAGCATGACGCACAGAAAATGGCTGTTATTATCCAACTACTTGTCAGAGAGAGAGAGGAGAGAGAGAGAGAGAGAGAGAGAGAGAGAGAGAGAGAGAGAGAGAGAGAGAGAGAGGAGAGAAGAAGAAGGAGGAGGAGGAGGAGGGGAGAGAGAGAGAGATAGAGAGAGAGAGAGAGGGAGAGAGAGAGGGAGAGAGAGAGGGGGAGAGGGAGAGAGAGCGCGCGCGCTCAGCTGGCTTCAGACCCCCTTAGTGGGGAGAAGTTGGGGAGGCCCAAAGTCCGGCCCTCCCCGGCGCGCCCTCGGCGGCGCGTCCCCCGCGCTGCCTCGGCGCGCTGCCCCGGGCTGGGGTGGACGCGGGGCTGGAGAGGAAGGGGCTCACGGACGGGCTCCCCTTCTCCCGGGTTGGCGGGCGGGCTCCTCGGCTGCTTTCTTTGGGAACAGCTGGTGCACGTCCCCGCGCGCCCCTCTCCCTCCGGAATCCGGCGAGGATTCAGCGGGACCCCGCGGCCACCACCTCCGCCCCGGGCGCGGGTCAAAGAGCACCCCTCGCCCTTGGTAACGGAGACAAAACCTCCGGGGCCGTCTAGACGGGTCAAGGTGCAGGATGCGGCGTCCCCGCGGCTCCTTCCGGAAGGGGGCGTGGAGCCGCCAAGGGCGCCGGACCGCGCCGAGCCCGCGGCTTTTGCGGGCTCTCTCCCTCTCCACCCTCCGCTGATCAAAGCAGGAAGTTTGCATGACAACCGCAGTGAAAGGGCCTGCATCACAAATGAACTCGGTTTCTGCGGTGTTGATATCTCCAGTCTCCATTGTCCCCTTTCAGGCGCAGTGTGAACCCTTCCGGTGCCAGCGACCGCGCGGCATTCACAGGCGCGTTCGGGGCGCACAAAGGGTCTCCGCGCTTCACCGCCATCTGGCCACAAATCTTCTCCGCGGCGCGGCGCGTCCCCTTGAAAGCGCGGGCGGAGGGTGCGCCTGTGCTCTCTAGGCCCAGGTTCCATTACAAACCACCCCGCGTCGCCACCGCCGCCCCCCGCGTGCGTACGGAAGCCACTTTGTAAAAACATTGTCAAAGAAACTTGGGAAGAGGACGCGTCAGGGAAACTCCGCCGCCGATTAACTCTCAGCTGCGCCTCCCCCGAGCCCAGGTAACCTCCCTCCTTCTCCCCCACACTCCACTCCACCGGAGCTGGATTCGGGGCGGCTCGCGAGGCCCAGGCACTCGAGGGGGAGTTAAATCGCTTATGGACCGTTTCACACAATACACCACCACATGTATCGAATCACTCAAATACCACGTTTTTAAAACTCATGAATGTTTTAATCTCTAAAAACGTCTACAGTCGAAAACCGCAGCCTAAACGGCTCCAAGTGCGTATTTCAAACACAGGGTGCCTTCTACTCAGGCTTTAATTATGCCGTTCATTAACGCTCATTAATTAAGTTGTAAAACAGGCACACAATACATAGATTAACAAACAAAACTGAAAACCTGTTTTATTAATTTACAGAAACGAAGACTTAAACACTGGAAAAACTATAAAATGTAGAGGAATATTTTAAAATGTAATTTGATCAAGACAGATCATTAACAGAAAGATTATAGAGGTTTTCTTTTTTCTGTGATGCATGTATTTTCAGTATTACTTCTTAGCTGATACATACACAGTATGTTCATAGTCGTTTCTGGATGTCAACAGAGCAGCATTTTACTTGAAAGTAAAGAGTAAGCTCTTTCATTTAAAAATATCTAACTGTAATCAAGAAATTCATTCTCTCCTTCCCTTCCTCCTTCCTCCCCCTTTCCCTCCCGAAAAGTAAACATACTTGATACTTGGGGGGATGGGGACAGAGCCAGGAGGAACCAGGCAAGATCTGATCGCTGGGGCTTTCAGAACCGTAGGTTTTCCATTAGGACACCAAACTCCATCCTAATACACCAGCTAATTCATATTGAGTACAGGCCACGCTGAAAACTAGTTTTACAATTCATAGAACACTGTGAACTGTTGGCAAAAATTGCTGAGTAAGTTTTGAGCAAAATTACGATGTTTGTGTGTGGAAGGCCTTCCCCAGCTTACTTCTGGGGGCCATTTGACTGATTTCCTAGGTTGCACTTTTTGGAAACAGCCCCCGTGTTAAAACTTCCCACCTACCAGTGGGTTGTTTTTCTGTTGAAAGTGTAATTTGACATTTTGAATACACCGCTGTTTTACCTCTTTTAACACAAATCTGTTGTGGCAAGGTACAAATGCGTGAATTTCTCTAATTTTGTCAGTCGATGAAGGCTGTCTGGCTTTCTGATGCTAGCCCTTTAGAGCAAGCATTCTTTAAAAGTAGAAAATGTTTGCTGGCAGCTAGCTCAGAGACACTGCCCTACGATATTCATTAAAAACAGGAAGGGGAAAACAGCCAGTGTGAGATGAGTGGAGTTCATCTTTGCAGAAGATTATGAAAAACTTTGATTCCAAAATCGCAAAGCATCAAATTTTTTGAGAAAATATTTAAGAAAAAGATGCTTATTCATTACAGCTCTTTGCACATTTATTCAAATGTACACGATTAGAGTTTAAAATGATTCTAAGTAGCTGAACTACATTCAGTACCTTTAAAGACTGTTTAGAGTAACTGAGGCTTTTTTTTTTCCCTCCAAGTGTTTTGATTATAAGAGGGCAATAAGTATTGGGACAAGTGGAATAAAACGAAGTCTTTCAATCCTGTGAAGATTCTGAATAGTACTTGTCAATAAAGCATCTCCTATTGTAATCTTAGGGAGCCTTCCCTCTGCCCTGCAAGGACTGTCTCGGAGATACTAACCTCATTAAAATATGAATGAGAAGGCCTGTGTATCCAGAGAAAACCCACGCACTGGCACAGTTTTCTTATCTGCCATTGCTTTTACACATGGACTTGTTTGGTACACGTTCTAAGTAGAAAAATGCTCCATGATCATTTCACTGCTGTCTTAGAGTACCCCAAGCACTCCAAGTACACCCTAACTTTTCCCAGTTTTTAAACCCATCTGTAACTCTTAGTTATGCTTCCTAAATGTGGTGCCCATTTCTCTGCCTTTAGGTTTCTTGGGACCTTGTGCTTGTTATGTGAGCAATGGAATGGGGGTGGTGGGATTCCCATATCCCTGCTTTAGAATGGAAAAAAGTAGTTGAAAGTTCTGACTTTGGCTTCTCTAGAAAACTGGAACTAGGGAGTTTATTACAGAGCACTGTGATAACGCTTTAATAACGGCCCATTACAGCATGCCTCCATGTGTGTTCATTACTGTGTCTCTGTTAATCTTGTAGTAAATGTCTTGCTTGATAGACGTCACAATCAGCAGGGATACAATTATGTTACAGTGGAAACTGTTGTTGTGGTATATCTGTCTCTGCCATTACAGTCTGACAACCTCCAATAAATTTCACTCATCTTTATCGTTATTTTGGAGTGTCCTTCAGATATGAAACCTGCACGTAACCTGTTTAGTGACTGATAATTAATTTCACATTGTAGCAAAGATTTTCTTTCTAGAGGTTTAGTTAATGTAAAATGTTAATTGCATTGTAGCAATATTGCATCTGGTTTAATCACTAACTTTTCATCCATAAAAATTGAAATCACTGCTGATATTAGTTAAAAGTCAATATTTAGAAGTGAAAATTCAAAGCTCCTTTGCTCTAGGCTACAACGGGGCAAGCATGAATTCGGAAACTCTTGTAAGCTGATGAGATACATAATTAGCTTTTATGTTAATTGACTGCTATGAGTTTGTTGTATGACACTTCTTCATATAATATGCAAATAGCATTGACTGCTTAGTTTTATTAGACAATATAATTAGAAATCTAAAGGCGCTCATTTAGATGAGGTATAATAAAGGCTGATCAATTTCCAGTGTTCTGTATATCAGGAAAAATGAATTGCATCTGGACTTAATAAGAGATGTTTTAGCTAGACACTATTTAGGGAGCCAAAACCAAATATAACAGAATTAATAGGAGTGCTTCCAGCCGCCATAAATTCTATATTTAAACAGGTGAATTTGTAGTGTTCATAAGATAAGACCTTGGGGGGAAAACACAGAGGTTTCAGTACAATTTGCTACAAATAATAGTGTACTTAATGAAAATAATACCTAACTTTTCCTGCTGTAATATGAGTGAAATGTCATTCTTATTTAAAACAAAATAGTTTGCAAGTAAGTGTTCTTTGTCCTTGTCCCTCACAGACACTTACCAATAACATATATGCTTAAGTTGTTAAAAAAAAAAAAAAAAAAAGTAATACAATAAGAACTATGCGATTTGGGGGGATATTTTTCCATAATTCATTTTTTTTTAATTCTGAAGCTTATTTTCAACTTAACAGTGACAAAACAGGAAAAAAAAAGCATAACAAATCAACATTAATGATCTCTCTAAATGGGGGTCATAAATGACAATTTGCTTTTTTATGAAATTAAAAAACATTTTCCTTATTATTAAATGCAAAATCGGTACTAGCATTTTCTTTCCTATTTTAAAAAGTATTCTGCTAGGTTAAAAAATAAAGGCTTTAATTTTCAAACATTTTAAGTAGAATAAAAGAAATACAATCTGTCACATGAAAAATACCATGAGCTTAACCTCTGTTAAAAATCTAAGCAAGGACTTTGGGAGCACAATTCACACTGCACCTCTCGGCTGTGGTGGGCGCTGCTCAGAAGGTTCCTACTGGTTTTGAAAACACCTAAGAGGAGAGAGTGAGAGTACCTAAGAGGGCAGAGGCAACAACATCGCGGCATAAATGCAGCATGACGCGAATCTGTTCATTCGTTCAACAAATATTTACTGAACTCCGTCTAATGTCAGACAAATACACTTCTCTAATTCAGACGTTTAAAAAGAGGACCTTCTGTGATTCTGCATAAAAATTAAAATAAAATTTTTGAAAAAGAACATGTCCAATAAACATGAATTAATAATAAAACCCTTTGTCATCGATTGAGCTGAACACTTCAGTGCAAGACCTGTTTTTATTTTTATTTCACGGTGTTCTGCCCAAAAAGCTCTGCGTGTCTCCCCATCTTGGGAACATAATGGTTGATGAGTGGTTATCTATTCAGAACCACCTCTGCAAAACATTTCCCCAAGCTAGGAAAAGGGAAAAGTACTGTTTTTGGACTCTGTTGGGGCATTTCCCAACTTGGTCTTCTGAATACTTGCGGGCATATGCCAAAACTTTGTTGTAAAATGTTAGCTGTCTGGCCCAGCACGGTGGCTCACACCTGTAATCCCAGCACTTTGGGAGGCCAAGGAGGGTGGATAACCTGAGGTCGGGAGTTCGAGACCAGCCTGACCAACATGGAGAAACCCTATCTCTACTAAAAATACAAAATTAGCTGGGCATGGTGGTGCATGCCTATAATCTCAGCTACTTGGGAGGCTGAGGCAGGAGAATCGCTTGAACCCAGGAGGCAGAGGTTGCAGTGAGCCAAGATCGTGCCATTGCACTCCAGCCTGTGCAACAAGAGCAAAACTTCATCTCAAAAAAAAATGTTTTAAATAAATAAATAAAATAAAAGACAAAATATTAGATGTCTAAAAGGAAAAGAGACAAATGAACTGGACGATGAGTCAGGAAATTCTTCGTGCTTCGTCTTACAGATGTGGAAACACACACGTACTACACACACATGCACACACCACCACGTGCATACAGGCACACCGATGCGTGCACACACGGATTATGCAGAAAGCGCCAGCTGGCTTCTGGCAAGCAAACCAGAAAACACTGTATGGCTTCCGGGGAGGCAGAGACTGCTGCAAACAGAGGGACTTCAAGGTTTCCTGACCCTCTGCTCTGCCTGACCTGCGGTCCGTGCACAGAGCCATGCCAGGACCATACCTCAGGAGAGTCCCTGCTCATCTGGCCTCAACACCTTGGTCCTGGTCTCAAGCCCCACCCCTCCAAGGCCTCTTTCACATCCTAAGAACAGCCCTTGGTGATTCAAGTGACAGGCTGTCCCGCCTCCCAGACCACCAGGCCGAGTCTAAAGCCACACCTGGAAAGCTGCTGCAGGGCACTGAACGTCCCCCCTGAGACATGTCCACCCACTGAAACAGACACCATTCACCTGCCCCACCCGAGGGACCTGGGGACGGCAGGGTGTCTGTGCACCCCAGATGCCCGAAGCGAGCCCCAGATGTCCAAATTACATGCCACGAGGGGTGGAGGGTGGAGGGAGAGCCCAGGCTGCCTGGGGAGCAACTGGGGGAAAGGAGGGTCTTTGGGATTCCTCAGCTCTGGCTCTCTCGAAGGTCTGTACTGCTGACTGGGAAGGCTGGGGAAAAGGAGAAGCCCTTCACCGCC